ACCAGTTTTCGGGAACAAAGGCACAATCTTATTGAATTGTTATGTTCCTGAAAATTGGTTGTTGTCCCTGAAAATTGGTTGTTGTTCCTGAAAACTGGTCCATGTCCCGACAACTTGGATATGGTTTTTAAATTTAAATGGTGCTCCGCTAATTTGGAGAGTGTTTCCGTAATTTGGGCCATGCAAATATGATTTAGATTGTACATCATTAAGTTAGCCATGCATAGATTATTTAGCTGGTACGTCATTAAGTTGGGTCATGAATTTATGATTTAGATTGTATTTTGTAAAATTCAATGCTAATTGAAGTTTACTGGTATAACAAGGTAGATTAAGTCGTAGAATTGATTTTTTCGTCCTTAAGTGATTCTCAGTGTATGCCATACTGATATAGATCACAGCACACATAAACATACATGTGCTGTGATCTATATCAGTATAGCACATGTACATGTGTATTAGACATTTGTAATAAAACCCCGTGTTTCTACCGTGCTGTGTATGCCCTCGAAAGATCTCGATTTTGGTCGCTCGATAATGTTTTGATTTTTTTGTAGAATATATGTCTCTTATCACCTACGAAAACCTTTAGTTTCATTTTCATAATCTAGCTGTTTATATATTCTTTCATTAAAAAGTCTAAATCTAAATAACTATCACGAGACAAAATGTCAGTCATATTTGACAATGATGTAGCTGCTAGACATAGTTTGCGACATCATCACATGTATGCATTCATTTCTAAAGTTTTAGCCACGATGATTACTAGTAGAATGCCATCCCTGATGTGAGGTATGGAAAAGGTTATTCAAACCCAAGAGATCAAATATAGAGCAGGAGACCCGAGGCTTTGCCGAGGGTATTTTGCTCAATATTTTATCCCGAGATTTTGAATAACCTTATCCTTACCTCACATCAGGGATGGATTCTATTTCTTGCTTAATACCTAAAAACCGTTAAAACAGCTGCTCTTCTAATAAAGTTGTGATCTGTCCGCACTTTTCTTATTTGCATATGAAGCCCGGATGGCAGTTGTTAGTGACGTCAATGACCCTGACTGACCCCAAAACATCATAAAATGACGTCACGAACAATAGCGTGTCGACAAAAGGTCACTATAATTTCCCCGCTAGTCTGCGCGTGAAAGCGATCCAGACCCGTGGGTCGGATAGACTTTTCCAGTACAGCCGGAAATGCGGATATCTCGGTCTAGTATGCAAGAAACTGTGTTACTTGCGTGTCAATCGATACCGGAAAAGCGAGAGGTCACAGGCCGTCACGGTTCGGTGCACAAATAAAGGTGGACAGTACATACGCGAAATGAAAGAGGTGTTGCCAATCTAAGTCCGTGGTCTTATCTACCTTTTTCAAACCCGCAAACGGGCTTATGCGAGGGCAAGGGTTATCCTATATATTCTATATATTAATGATTTGGAAAATGAGTTGATCATGAAAACCACCGAATGTGTTGAATTAAGAGATATATCGCTGCTTTTGATTATGTATGCGGACGATACTGTCCTTTTTTCTGAGTCCATAGAAGGACTTCAGACTATGCTTGATACCTTGTATGACTATAGTACCACATGGAATATAAAGGTCAATGTGGCCAAAACGAAAATCGTATGTCTTTCGTAATGGCGGTAACCTTTCAAATAATAACAGATGGTATTACAATGGAAAAAACATTGAAATTGTTGAGTCCTTCAATTATCTGGGTGTTACATTGTTTTATGATGGAAAGTTTACCCAACCTCAGAATATTATTAGTCAGCAAGGTCGAAAATGTGTATACCGCATAATGAATATTTGTAATAACATTTTTTTTAACATTGAAACTAAATATACGTATTTGATATTTATGTTTCAAGTGTATTAAACTACGGCTGTGAAGTATGGGGATTCCATGCTGCCCCTGACGTAGAGAAAGTGCACATGGATTTTTGTAAGCGCTTACTTAATGTTAGAAGGTTTACTCCAAACAATATGTTGTACTCAGAACTTGGTAGATTACCACTTTGTATAATACGGAAAATGAGAATAATTAAGTATTGGTTGAAATTACTTGAAACCGATAACTGTATTTTAAAAGCCTTGTATAATGATATGTTGTCTGAAGTATACAAGGGCCAACTGACTTAGTAATGTGAAATCAATGTTAATGTCTCTAGGTTTTGGATATGTTTGGTATGATCAGAAAGTTGTATGTAAGAATCAACTTATATTGGACGTTAAACTACGTCTACGTGATGTTTTTATACAAAATATATAGATGTCTGCCCGAGGTTAATTGTCTTCAGTATTATCTTTGTAAATCTTTTCCTGAATCTTGTATTTTAACCATTGCGAAATTTAGATTATCTTCACACGACCTTCGTATAGAAAGGGGCAGATATGAGAGAATACCTCGTAATGAAAGACTTTGTTTAAAGTGTAATTTAGGCGATATAGGGGACGAATTGCATTTTATTCTTGTTTGTCCATTTTACAACGAAGTAAGAACACAATACATTGACAGATATTACAGAATTAGACCGTCTTTGTTTAAATTAATTAACTTACTTTCTGTTAGAAATAAGAGGAAATTGAATAATCTTTCCAAATTTTTAATTTCTGCTTCACAACTCAGATCAAATGAATAATTACATATATTGTCCATCCTCCATGATATGTCTGTATTGCTGTGTATCACTCACTCAATTTTATAAAATGTATTGTAATGTTTATGCTGATTAGCCGAAAGGCTAAAGGCCAATAAACTAAACTAAACTAAACACAATAACTTTAGGGATCTTAAATTAATAACGACAACCTCATTACAACAATCTGATGTTCATAGATATTTCAAAAAGAAAACAACATTAAACAAACTGAAACAAATTGTTAAGGCAAGAACGTACATCAAAAATATTATGGTATTGCAATTTATACCTCCCACCGGGTACCTCAGTGGTTTTTCCAGTTTAAGAGTTACTTCCGTGTTACCATTAACACGCAGTTGTTGCACCACAAGATGATGGACCGTTTGAACGGAGAGGAGGAGAAAAAGGAGACGGACAATCATGAGTACCGTACCCGGGACCGACTCGGGAGTGGTGCCACGGCCGATGTTTATAAGGGGACCAACAAGGTATCACGTTTTACAGGCCTTGGTAACCCTACGTTCGTTTTGATATTTTTTCTGGTGTCATCAATTTTGCGTTACATTTATTTTCATCAAAATACAATTTAAAAGTCATATAGCCAAATTATGTTGTTACACCAGTTTCAGTGATTAACTAGGACAAGAAATGTAAAACCAGTTCATCGTTTATGCCTTAATTATAATATGTGTATACAGTCAAGAGTTATAAATTCTGTCAAAAATTAATAAAAACAAGAATACAAAAACTTTGAAATTCTTAAAAATAGCAAAAAAACAGACTCCTGTGATACAGTGTATTACTATAACATACTTATAATATTTGTTTGAAAGGAAATGTAAATGAATAGTGTGAATTAAAATAACATAAAATGTTTCAGTATCTTCACTACATTAAGAATTAGATAACAATACCCAAATGTATAGTTATCTAATTCAGCATCACCTGAGTCTTTGTAATGGTAATAATTAATATTAAGTTGGCTCCAAGTACTTAATCTACATCCTGTTCAATAGCTCAAGTCATCTCAGGCTGTGCAGGGGTCGGAGACTAGGACTAATTATCTTTAAATATATATCCTATGGCACTTCCTATCATTCCTGTCTTCTTTCTTTTCTATCTCACCTCCTGCTTCAGGCGTTGTCTCCTTAGGGACCCGACCTCATATGACCCTGGCTGTTGTGTCTCCCTAGGCACCCGACCTCATATGACCCTGGCTGTTGCCAGGACGTTAAACCCCAAAACAAACAAACAAATCATATGGCACATTTACCCACAGAGGGGTCACAGAAGTATAACAGTTATCTTTAAATGAAATAAAGATATCACTAAGATTAATAGAATTGTCTTTAAATGAATTAAAGATGTCTTTACATAAAAGAAACATATCTTCTTACAGGTATCTTTGAGTCTGATTAAGTTGAAGATTAGGATTGTATGAGCTATCAAGATCTATTTTTTATAAGATATCTCCTTCATTAATAGCAATTTAAGGTATTAATTGTTCAGTTGTGATATTTCAGGGTTTAAGGGATATATAGACTACTAGATTTAAGGGATATATAGACTACTAAAGATATGTAGAATACTAGATTTAAGGGATATATAGACTACTAAATTAGTGTGAAATATCAATATATAAAACTACTAACTTAAACTCAAATACATGTATCTCTAGGTGATACTTTCGGGAGATACTTAAATTATTGGTATCTAATAAATACATGTATCATTTGTCAGGTAGTAGGATTAGGTGGTGCTCCTCTTTATTTCCTTTATAAATGATACAGGAAAGATTCTGTTTTCTATTGGTTTTTATTTGGTAAGATGTTTCAGGTCTAAGAATTTATATAAATGTTAATTACACTTGGAAGTATATGTTTTGTGGACATTTCAAAAGACATGTATTATAGTCACAACATCGGATGGGGCTGATTAAGTTATCATGAAATGATCTAAATAGTGATAAATATTAACATGTTTGAAATAACTATAATTTTATCTTTGTATTTCCCTACAGAACACAGGCGAAGTGGTAGCCCTCAAGATGATTAACATCAGTTATGATTCAAATATACAAAGGGAGATGGAGGCTCTGAAGAAACTTCAACACCCAAACATTGTCCGATTCTTCAACTGTGAAAAAGATGCAAGTTACCACACCCAGACAGTCCAGCTGTGATAGAGACACAAGTTATTTTTGACAGTGTGCCCATATATACTTTTCTAATTTTGGTTTCAAACAAAATTTCCTACAGTTGATTTTTTTTTTTTTGCATTTAAGATTTTCTTTTTTTACCAATACCAATCATAGGTATCTGCCTCGGAAAAAGGAAAATATCTGATACGATCATATAATTAGTATGTTATGTGTATAGTATGTCTCGTGTGTACAGTATATATGTATCATGTGTATAGTATGTCTATCCTGTTATCTTAGGCAGATACATATGTACCAATGAATTATTGTTGATTCTTTCAGGTTGCATACTGTCAAATTTTGACCCTAGAATTGAGCATTTTCAGCCAGTGAATTTGCTAAACTATTCCTATTTTCTAAGATATGATGATTGCATCTGAAAGAACAGCTCAAAAGATACCATTTAAAAGTGTTATTTTTTCCTTTGGTGTTCATACACGCATTATGTTTATGCTTTTCATTTTGAGCAAGCATAATCTCCCCCTTAAGAATAAAAAAAAGTTGGGATGTATGCTGGTTGACAATAGACAGCTAACAAAGACCATTGCTTCCTTTTTCATATGTTGGTTGTAAAAATTGGGGGGAAATTTCTCTTTTTCTAATGATACAATGGTTTAATTGAAAACCAAACTATATAAATCACATCATATATTTGTGTCTTCCCTTGATGTAGCTTTGTTGGAGTGATTAATAGATATGTCCCTAATCGTAGTGATTTATTCTGTGTGCTCCAGAGCTTGACGGGGAGGTTTGTGCTGGTCATGGAACTCTGTGAGAAAGGTAGTTTACAGGATCTCCTCGAGGAACCAGAAAATTACTCCGGTATGGATGAGGACGAGTTTCTCAGGTTCTTCGAGCATTTAGGTAAATGTTATTGACAGAGTGTTTATATTTTAGGGGGACAGGTAGTAAGCAGTTATTTAATCTAAACACTGGAGTTAACTTGAATTAAAAAAGTTCCCTATTCATTAAATTGTTATTTTGAGATGAAAATATGTTTGTATTTTAGTAAATGGTACAAAACATATGAGGAACCAAGGTTTTTCTCATCGAGACATCAAACCTCGGAATGTCCTTGTCTTTACGGACGAAGACGGCAGGTAGGTAACGATGCTGATACTTATTTTTTTAACACCACAGTTAGAGCTGGTGCTCTTTTGGTATTTAATGTTACTGAAGGAGCTTGATTTAACTCTATAAGGAGTATTTCTTGCAATAATTTAAAGAATGTTTTATTTTCACACACATCATAGCTGACCGTTAATTCAATACTTAAACTGAAATTTTTAGAGTATGTTATTTAAAAGCCGGAAAATAAACTGCCGGAAAATAAACTTTTTCTGTCCTAAAGTATGTAAGTCTGATCTAGAATAATGAAGGATATACTGATCTAAATGGTATTGATAGAGGATCCTCTTTGATTTTAATTTACTTGTTGCTAATTCCTAATTCTGATTGGAGGAATGACATTATGTGATGAGTCTGCAAATCTAGCAGTTACAGACCCGATCCTAAGAATAGAAAATTGGTACAGGTATTTACTAAAAAAATAGGTTTGGGTATTTCCAGTAACCAAATCTGTAAATATCCTACAGACCCCATTTTTAACTCACCTGGTCTGATTATCCATTGGGCCCAGGATGATGATATCTGGCCAGTAGCATGCTATGATGAAGGGCTACCAAGTTTGTTCAAGTGAATGACCTTGACTTAAATTCAAGGTCACATGGGTCAATATGAGTAGTCATAATACTGATATTTTGCCTGAAGCTTTAGTTTTAGATATTTTTTAAGGTTACAAGTGTTAGATTAATAACAGCTAAGCGATGCAGGCCCATTAGTACATTTATATTGTTCATATTATTCCAGTGTAGTAGGTGTAATTAATTTACATTCCTTTCCATCAGATTATGATACACTAACATTTACATGTACACAATAAGTGACGAATTCATCAACGATTTTTTTCATTCTGTTACACACGATTATCCTTTCTAAATGTCCGTTCTAATATTTTCCAGCAATGTGTACAAGCTGTCAGACTTCGGTACAGCTAAACCTCTGGGAGACGAAGACTTATTCATGTCCCTGGTCGGCACAGAAGAGTATTTGGTAGGTGTCAACAGGACCAAGGTGAGCTTATGCCATACCGTGGCGTCCGTCGTCCGTACGTCAACAATTTCATCAAACGACTTCTTCTTCTTAAACACTGATTAGAATTAAAACTAAATTTAAAGGGGGCTGAGGGGCGAGGCCAAAAAGGAAAAAAAATGGCTATATTGCTATAAACGACTTCTTCTGTAGAACTGTGTAATGGATATCAATCACATTTGGTAAGAAGCATTCATGGGAGGCACGGATCTAAAATTGTGCACATTGTTGAGCTGACCCCCAAGTGGGCTGAGGGGCGGGTCCATCAGGGTCAATTTTGCTATATTGCTTTATGCGACTTCTTATCTGGAACTAAGAGATTTGTATCAACCATATTTGACTGGATGCATCCCTAGGTAGTGGGGAATCAAAATTGTACAAATGGTGAGGCTGAACCCTATATTACTTTATGCGACTTCTTCTCCGGAACTAAGAGATTAATATCAACCATATTTGACTGGATGCATCCCTATGTAGTGGGGAATCAAAATTGTATATATGGTGGGGCTGACCCCCCAGAGGGCTGAGGGGTGGGGCCAAAAGGGGGCAATTTGGCTAAAATTCATATAAATGACTTCTTTTGTAGAACTTTGCACTGGATATCAATCATATTTGGTTGGAAGCATTCATGGGAGGCAGGGATTCAAATTGATCAAGTAGTGGGACTGACCCTTGGCTTAAGGGTGGGGCAAAACATAGTTTATTGCTTGGAAATGGTTGTGATCCCCACCCTATAACCATATATACAATTGCTGAGTATAAAGAGAAGAAGAATGCACGTATATGCTTCCAGGATTGCCCATCCTTGGAGACATAGTCCTTGGGTCATAAAGTTGAAACGGTTGAGATCCCCATCCCAAAACTGTATATCCAATTGCTGGGCATAAACACAAATACAGTCATGCTATTATAATTGACCACGGGGTCTGCCCCACCCTTACAGAGTTAACCCCTGGGTCATAACTTTGAAACAGTTGAGATCCCCACCCAAAAACTGTATATACAAATGCTGGGCATAAAGAGACGAATACAGTCAAGTTATTATAATTGATCATGGGGTCTGGCCACAACCATAGGGACCTAGTTTCTGAGTCACACCTTGAAAACAGTTGAGATCCCCACCCCAAAACCATACATAAAAAATACAGATAAGATACAAGGATTGGCCTTGGGGTCTGGCCCATTCCTTTGGATCTTATTTTGAGAATATTTTGACATGATTACTTTGATATCCCGGTGCATCATGGTTCCACTGTCTTTCAAGCAATATGTTGATATGTATTAGATAATAAAAAAAGTATTTATAATGCACTAGATGCTGCTGCTCTAGTTGTACTAGAATCAAGAGACGACACTAATAAACAGAATGATTCTATTCGCATACAGGTGAGTTAACTCCCTTTAGATTAAATACTCATTAAAAGAACTTTTTTGATGATTTTGTTATCCTTGCTTGTTTTTTTCCTGTGTAATATCTGGAACATCTTAATTGGGAATTCGTAAAAGTTTTACCTTTTACACAATTTCATTTTCCAACTATTAGAGTGAGGGAATCGGCTAAATTGATTGCATCGACAGTATTATCATTTTGCAGTATACTGCTGTATGAAAAATATACTGTAAACTGGGAATTTTTCACCGCAGTTTAACTTTTGTTTATTTCGCCCTCCCCAATGAGTGTGAATTTATCATGGTGGAGAATATTCAGTACGGCAACATATAATACACATTAATTACATGTGAAGGGCAAAATTTACACTGGGTGAATATGGATTTTATCGACAAAGGGTGAGTGAATATTTGACTGGGCGAAAGTTTCCCAGTAGACAGTATCTAATAGGTTTTTTTATTTTCGTTAATATGCAGTTATGTTTTCATCAGATTACAGTCACTTTTTCTCCAATGGATGACTTTTAATTGATCACAGCATCCTGCCATGTATAGGAAGGCGTTTATAGACAACAGTTACTGTCAGGTTTTTGACATATCGGCAGACATATGGAGCCTCGGGGTGACTTTATATCACGCTGCCACAGGACAAACACCATTCAATGCATACGGTGGTCGCTCTGACAAGGCCAAAACGTGAGTGGGCACATTCCTCTGATTGGTTTACTTAGGAAGTTAGCAACAGATATTATCAGTTATAGAATTATTAGAGCAGAAAATACCTGTTTGTAAATAGTGACTCCTTCTAGTGTACAGTAAGCTACTGTCTATAATGGTAGATTTTACTGACCGTTCACAAATTTCTATTATTAGTTATACAGGTTTTTCTGTAGAACTTTTATTGAATAGGATTTGTACAGGTTACATTGGTTCATATTACAAAAACTTTGTAGAAAATTGTCATAAATCCCTTTCTAAGACAAAAATACAAAAATACTATTTCTAGTTTAGGCAAAAATAGTGATCTAGGAAAAATGCAAATAAAATTAAAAAAAAAAAAAAAAAAAAAAAAGTCATGGTTTCAACTTTAAGGGGGCATATACGTATGTATAAAATTGCGTTTACCAATGTATGAAATCAAACCAAATGCTGAGTACACATTTTATTTTAAGACAGCATGTTTTAGAGGGACAAAAAGACTTGCATACAGTGTAATATACCACCAAACAGACCTCATACTAGGATGTGTGAACAACGATACACATACTGTTGTTTCCTGTATTTCAGCTCTTACTATACTAATTAAGTCCCATGTGTTGATGTTATTGTAATAACGAATATACTGTCCAAATATTAGCCAATGAAAATCATTAGATTATCTATGTCAGTATAACACACACTGGTATCACTATATATCTGATTAAATGTTTCTACTCTCAGGAATAAATTTCTATTTCTACACATTTCTACACACAGGTATCGAAAGGGCCTTTATAGGCCTTTTAAAACTTTTGCCCCATCCCATTACAGTTTATGGTAATAAAATATGTTCATACTACAACACACAGGTATATTACTTCTTTACTGAACATGTTAACGAGTTTATGCAAACAGGTATCATTATATATATGTCTGAGTACCTAAACTAATCAGTCACACTGCGAAGGAAAACAGGTATGAATACCTTTTAAGTCTCATCACCTGAAGGAAAGAGGACGAAGAAATAATTAATACTGAATTGATCAATCAACTTCAATTCTGGACTTCTTTTTAATTATCAGTTCAAGGTAATGATATAGAGTACCAGATACAACATTGCACTGCATGCTGATGTTCGAGGTAATAGTTCATTTACGTTACAACACCTGGGCTCCAGGTGAAAATTTCACTTAAGACTTACTTAGATAAGTGTAAGTGTGATATTTACCTTGGGCAAAGGATAATGTTACGAAAGCATTTACTGTAGCACATGTACATAAGCATGCAGCTAAACAAACTTAATAAAAATTAAAAACAATATTTTAATGAAAAATATTTCAAGCTGGAAAAACACCTTGAAATATACAATGTCAGTGTTCTTCTCTTACTGGGTATTTTTAATGTGAGGCAGTCGTTATGCTGATTTGTTTTAGGTATGAGATTTACTCGAACAAAGCACAAGGTGTGATATCAGGCCAGCAGGAGGTCAGTGAGGGCCCGATAGTGTGGAGCAGGGATCTTCCAAACACTTGCAAGCTCTCCAGGTATGTATCCGTAGATCTAGAGTACAGTAAGGCTTCAAAATACCAGCAAGCTTTCAAGGTATTCACCCATAGAGTGAAGTAGAGAGCTTCAAAACACATGCAAGCTCTCCAGATATGTATCTGTATTCATAAATAGAGCAGGACGCTTCCAAAAGCCTGCAAGCTATCCAGGTATATACCTAAAGAGTAGAGCAGGAAGTTTCATAACACTTGCAAGCTCTCTAGGTATGTATCTAAATAATAGAGCAGGGAGCTTGCAAACACCTGTAATCTCTCCATGTATACACTCATAGGTCACCCAGTGTATGTATGTAGACAGTCTCAGTTATCTGCCTGTCATACATCAATACCTTCTTCTGAGAAAACTGCTACCGTATATTATTACTCAATGGATTATATGGGTTTATTCCTTTATGCCCACAAACTGTTTTGTTTATTTTTAAATGTGACATTTCAGGGATGAAGCCGAACGGACATGTAAGTGTTAGTGCAAACCATGAAAGGACCACAATGGACTTATCCAGATAAATGTATGGTAGAGTCTACTAAAGTTACCTAGGGGTGAAAGGGTTAACAAGATAGAGGTCCTTACTCCTATGAACAATACTATACAAGCACTGTTGCCAAAGAAAAGAATACATTGTTATGGTAAAAAAGAACACAACTATTCAAACCAATTTTGAACTAGAATTTATTTAATTATTGTTTGGCGTGAGTGGTCACGGCTTCATGATTAAGTTTGGTTACAAACCGTATGAGCCAGTTGCTCTGACTAGTTTTGGGCTACCGCAAATCCACATCATACATGGAGCCAATTTCTCCATATATATTCAATATACAATGTTCATTTAAACCAATAAACTCAAATTAATAATTGACTTTTTATATTCCTTTTGGTTACTGTAAAGTCAATTGTCAATACAACTTAACTGAAATGACGTTTTACACCTGACCCCGAAAACGAAGGTCGAGTGCATATTAATTACCTAAATTATCACTCCCAAATTTTTTTGCCGCGCAACTCCAAAATGGCCACAGAGAGCTTATTACAAATTTGCAACCGACGGCCATCCGCCACAAAGTGGGGGAAGCGGGGAATACAACTTTTCAACAATTCGAGCCAATTGCTCTCAACATAACATTTAGGGCTACCACAAAGGGTTTCCCACAAATTCAGCATTATACATGAATCCAATTTTATTTAACTGTCGTGACCACATTTTGCATACGCCGAGGGGAAAAACTGCCCCCCTACCCATTGAAAGAGTAAATTGAATTCCGCCCTGTAACCCATTAAAGAAAATATTCTGGCCTATCTCTGATAAATGTACTTCATCATCAGCAAACAAGTCACCAATATGTCTGGATATGTCAGGATGTAAAATGTAAGAGCCCCCCAGCTCCAATACTTTTTTACACATGCACTATTCAGCCTACGCCTACACTTATCCATGACCTCATTGTCATTACAATTCCTCCATTTTCTCCGTGGTAGTATTTGCGACCACACCAAATGCACGTGGGGATTTTTTGTGTGGATATTCCCAATTATTACTCTAGCCTGATGATACAAGTCACCGATGGGGAATAGACCCATGTCATTCCCCCCCCCCTTCCCCGCAATGTAAAACAACCATATTTTTTGATGTAGCTCCTATACCTTCAAGCCACCATACCCCATACCAAATGTGGATGCCAATTCGCTTCAGTCCTAAATTGATTCCTCCTGGCCTTTCCATTGAATCCATGAATGCTCGTTTTACAATGGATGATCCCATAATCCAAACCACTGTTCCTGAAATATTACATCTAGAACCTACTGCAGATACATATGAACGACATGTGGCTGGGGATTTACCTTCTAAAGATAAATATGCTATAAAATGAACCACATGTACTAAATCTGGTGGCCATAACTCAGGAAATCCTCTTTTTGCCCTAAAAGACTCAAAAGCGCCCAACCCTGTACTATATGCTGCACGGGAATTATAAGCCAACGCACATTTAACAATCGATCAGCCTCGGGTTGGAGATCAGTTGTAGAAATGGATTTGGAAGTCTCTCCGGCTCTGCCTGTGACTGTGGCGCCAACTGCCGGAATCTGTGCCACTGTTTTCGAGAAATCGAATCGGCAATTTCATTAATAATACCAGCTACGTGCTGTGCCCGAAACTAAATGTTATACTTCATTACCAGTAAAACAAATTCCCGAACCAACATCATAATACGCTTGGACTTTGATGTTTGGTTGTTAAGAATGGCCACTAAAGCAATGTTGTCTATGTTAAACTTGATCTTTTTGTTTGCCAATAGGGGCCCTCACAGGGACAAGGTCATGATAACTGGCACCAATTCAAGAAACGTAATGTCTCTAATAACACTATTGCCACCCCATTCTCTTGGCCAACCTAAATATGTCCATCTCCCATACAAATAAGCTCCCCAACCCAACTCTGGAGACCCAGCGCTATCTGTGAATAACTGTAGCACACTACTATCAGACCATGATGCTAGGGGAAAATATATTTGCCCTGAAAAACTGACTAAAAACTGTCTCCACATTGCCATATCTTCCAACAATTCCCTGGATAGGGAAATGAAGTAATGAGGCTGCTTGACTTTTGCCAGGGCATCGTAGAACCTACGCAGAGATGCTCTACCTGGCCGAACAGCTTTGCAGAAAAAAATCAACTTCCCTACCAAGGATTCAAGGTCTTTTTGAGTGATTTTACGTCGCATAGAATAGTCTGACAGAAGGCCGTAAAGTTCCTGAATTTGTGGATGCGGTATACGGACAACCGTTTTAATAGTGTCAATTTCTAATCCTAAAAACACCAAGTTTGTAACTGGTCCGACTGTTTTGTCATTAGCCAAAGGTATACCTAGTTCTTTTGAAATATCATTAAAACAAAGCATGAGTTTTTTACAGTCATCTTGATCCTTACCCCCAAATAATGAGACAATGATTGGAGTCCTGATTTTTTCTCTATCAACCACTGCAAAAAAGTTGCAAATTTTTCGAATAAGTTACATGAAGCATAGCACCCCATTGGAAGACATTTGTCAACATAGAGTTTTCCCTCAATCTGAAACCCAAGCAAATCAAAATCTCCAGGATGAATTGGTAGCAGTCTAAAGGCACTTGTCACGTCAACTTTGCCTAACAATGCGGACCCACCCAAATTGCTTATCATTTCCAAAACATGATCAAAAGAATTATATTGTACTGAACAATAATCTTCCTCAATGAAATCATTCACACTCCTTTTCTTTGGGTAAGACAGAGGAGTTATTAGTCTCCATGCCCAATTAGGCTTAGGGACAATGCCGACCGGTGAGAGCCTTAACTTTGACATTGGTCTTTGATCTAAAGGGCCAATAATTCTACCTAATTCAATTTCCTTCTTAATCTTATCCAAAATTTCTTTCGGATGATCATATAATAATAATAATAATAATAATAATAATAATATACAACATTTGATATAGCGCCCTATTTAGCTAATATAAGCCACTCTAAAGCGCTTTACAGTACATAGATATACAATTTTATACAGTCGATACAATTAGCATATATATTAATCAATACAATATTGAATACATATGTTGAAAGTAGGTTCCTACAATTCGTAGGGATTCGGAGGCCTGTGTAATGTAAACTAAAACCTTTATTAAATCCTTCTACCAAAACATGTGCTGCCTTTTCATTTGGATAACTGGCCAAGTATTTGAGTAGAGCTGGGATATTAACTGGTATTTTACCTAGGGCCCATTACTCGTCCCCCTGAGAACCCCTTAACCCTTGGAAATGGAGGTCTGGTCTGAAACTGATATGAAGTTTGGTTGAACATACGTTGCTGGCTCTGGATAGGAAAGCGTGGAGCTAAATTTTGACCCCCCAGCTTCTTCTGCATGGGACAAGTGGATAGAGCATGATCCCCAGCACACCTCATGCAAACATGGAGAGGTATGAGCATGGATGTCGAAAACATGAACCCTTGTAATTGAAATCATAACAGTTTCCTCCCTTTGCACTAACCATGCCTGGTCGAGATACAGATGCTGCAGATGTATTGCTGTGACCGGTCATGTATATAGGCCACAACTCGCTATCAATCTCCGCCCAGGAGCTCTCGGGTTGCACCCCCTTTTTTAGCCTATATAGCTCATTATAGAGCATCCGTTCCCCCGACCTTGCCGCTCCTAAACGAATGGTGTGCATGTACTTTACAAGATCCAATATTTTTGATGGATGAGCAGAACCGTAAATCGATATAAAAACCAAAAAGGCATCAGACCATCTCTCAGTGGTATGGATCTTTTCCTGTAATTTAGGTTTCATGCACAGCTCTCAATGAGTATCTTCTGTTCTTTAATGTAACATTATTCTGTAGTAAGGAAGGCAGGTCGACGAACTGATCAGAAATGATTTTTTGCTTAAGTGTGTCAGGAATGTTACCCCCCAAAAGGGCATGGACACTTTGTATGGGCCTAACATCTGGCTCAATACCCGATTCTTCAAACAATTCCTCCATATCATTTGCCTCTAACTGATTCACCATCTGTGTAGTGTCCGGCTCGGGTCTCCTCCTTTTCCTGGTATTGTGTACATGTGCAGGTGCCTCCTCTACCACTGCCACTGGAGCCTCACTCTGGTCAGGGACATTCTTCCTCTTCTGCTTAGACTTTGGCATCTCGAAAACACTCAGAAATTGAAAAGTAAACTAGATTAGTTTCCCATTTTGGTGTGCGATACTTTTTATAAGTAACAAACTATGTAACAGGAGAAATAATAACACCACAGTCCCCTGTGATAGCAATGTAACACAAGAGAAAAATATTTACGCTACAGTCCCCTGTGATACTATGTAACAGAGAAGAAATATTAACTCAACAGTCCCCTGTGCTAGCTATGTAACCCAGGAGAGAGAAATATAAACTATACAGTCCCCTGTGATAGCTATGTAATATATGGATACATGTTACATGCTACAGTCCCC